TAACCTGCTCATTATTCAGACACAAAATGGTGCCACACAGTCAAAAACACAAAGCTGACAAAAACTAAAACAGCTGATGGAGTATACACTAACCTGCGCATTATTCAGCCACAAGATGGAGCCAAAGTCAAAAACACAAAGCTGACAGAAACTAAAACAGCTGATGGAGTATACACTAACCTGCACATTATTCAGACACAAGATGGAGCCAAAGTCAAAAACACAAAGCTGACAGAAACTAAAACAGCTGATGGAGTATACACTAACCTGCGCATTATTCAGACACAAGATGGTGCCACACAGTCAAAAACACAAAGCTGACAGAAACTAAAACAGCTGATGGAGTATACACTAACCTGCACATTATTCAGACACAAGATGGAGCCAAAGTCAAAAACACAAAGCTGACAGAAACTAAAACAGCTGATGGAGTATACCAGAGGTTCCCAAACTTTTCAGCCCGCGCCCCCAAAATAACAATGTCAGTGACTAGCGACTCACATTTTTCAAACTGGTTATACTGTAAATATATAAACGTTGCAGACACAACTATAGGCCCATATAAACATGAGCATATTGACAACACATAAATGCAACATATAATGTTTTTTTTTGTCATTTATTAATTTAATTACATTTTAATATAAAAATTAAAAGCTGATGGCTGATTTTTGTTTGTATGTTGTTGTTTCTTTAACGCAACTATTAATCTTCTGTGGGTTATGAATAAAATATGACAATTCAAATAGTTGAATAAAATTTATTTAAATTTTGGAAATCACCAAGCAACCCCTTGTCATTGTCCCGCCACCCCCCAGGGGGTCCCGACCCCCACTTTGAGAACCACTGGAGTATACAATACCCTGTGCATTATTCAGACACAAGATGTTGACAAACAGTTAAAAGAGCAAAGCTGACAGAAACTAAAGCAGCTGATGGAGTATACACTAACCTGCACATTATTCAGACACAATATGTTGCCAAACAGTCAAAAACACAAAGCTGACAGAAACTAAAACAGCTGATGGAGTATTCGCTAACCTGCACATTATTCAGACACAAGATGGAGCCAAAGTCAAAAAAACAAAGCTGACAGAAACTAAAACAGCTGATGGAGTATACACTAACCTGCGCATTATTCAGACACAAGATGGCAACAAATTGTCAAAAAGTCAAAGCTGACAGAAACTAAACCATTTGAGTAGAGCGTACAAACCTATGTAATATTTATTCAATAAATGGCACCAAACAATCTACAATTCTGTCATGACAGACAAGCAGAAACATATGAGTTGATTCGACGTCTCAGATGAGCTTGTTTTATTTAGTGGTTGTTATCTCAGAATACCTTTTGAATGTTGTGACTGACCAATCAGAACTGAGTATTCTGAAAACATAATATACAGAATATTAACATGATAACAAAAAACAAAAAGGCAAAAATAGAAATTAGCATAACATATTTGAACAACAACACAACACAAACACAAAGACTAATGTACTGTTTAACATTATACAGTAACACCAGGCCAAGTAGTCTTAATGGGATTAGTAAAGCTTTAAACTAAACTGAACTGAAATCTGTGTTTTCCCCTTGGACAAAACTTTTCCCAGAGCTACATATATATATATATATGTATGTATGTATGTATTTATGTATGTATGTATGTATGTATTTATATGTATGTATTTATATGTATATATATATATATATATATATATATATATATATATATATATATATATATATATATATATATATATATATATATATATATATATATATATATATATATATATATATATATATATATATATATATATATATATATATATATATATATATATATATATATATATATATATATATATATATATATATATATATATATATATATATATATATATATATATATATATATATATATATATATATATATATATATATATATATAAATATATATATATATATATATATATATATATATATATATACATATATATATATATATATATATATATA